CAGCTTCAAAATAGTCAGAGACCCAAGGTGAACTATTTTATTCTTTATTGTTTTCTTAATTTCTCAACTGTCTTTCTTCTTGTTTATAATCAACAAAGCCACCTCTGAAGACAAGAAGTCCTAAAGGAATGCATTGGCAGAACTGGTTCCTTCGGGATGCTCTAAGGGAGAATGTGGTTCAAGAGTCCCTTGGCTGCTGGAAATCCTTGGCATTCCTTGGCTTGTAGAGACATCACTCTAAGCTCTGCCTCTTCACATGGCCATTTACCCTCTCCATCTTTCTAAGCTTTCTTAAAGCTTATCCTTACAGAATCCAAACCAATTAAAAGTCAGCAACCTGAGGTGCAATGAAGCGTGGAATATGGTGCTTCAGGAATTAATGCATTTGTACTTATGGCAGAATGTACTTGTACTTGATTGCAGAATGATGCCCTCCCCAAAGCTGTCTACAGCTGAGCCTCCAAATCTGAGAATATGTTACCTTCCATGGTGAAAGGGACGTTACAGATGCAATGAAGTTAGGGATCTTGAGATGGGGAGCTATCCTGGAGTATCCAGGTTGGCCCCATGAGACCATAAGAGTCCTTGTAAGTCAAAGATAGAGGCAAGAAGTCAGAGGAGGTGTGACAACAGAAACAGAAGTCAGAAGGATGTGACAGCTGGAAGGGGCCACAAGCCAAGGAATGCATGTAGCCTTTAAAACTGGAAAATGCAGGTAACAAGTCTCTCCCCTATAGATTCCAGAGAGAATGAGGCACTGACAACACCTTGGCTTGAGTCCAGTGAAACCTATTTTGGACTTACAACCTCCAAAACCGTAAGAGAATAAATCTGTGCTGTTTTTAAGCCAATACATTTCTGGTAATTGGCCACAGCAGCCACAGGAAACTAATGCAGCACCATGGACCCTTTAGAAGAAGAAATTACTCAAGGTGGTGCCGCCTTATGCATATTTAAGAGAATTGCTTCCGGCCTGGCTGGTTGACCATATGGCAAGGGTCCATGGGTGACTTGTGTACTCTTGGTGCTACCAGCACTTGGAATGCAATCAGTGGGAGCCAGAGGGAGCAGAGGCCGTTGCATCAAACTAGCAGGGTTCCTCTTGCCAGATTCATAGTTCAGGTGACTCCCGGTGTGGGATGGCATGTGCCACCTTGGCTGTGTCTTGTCTTGGCACTGGCTTCTCTCACAGGCTTCATGACGCCTGTCTTGGTGCACAAGATGAAAGGGAACCCCACGGTAATAGATTCCTCTTAAATCACAAAGGATCTTTGTTAAACCATCAAGTCCCCTCACGACCTGCAGCCTATCCCTGAACCCCAACCTCCTAGTATTGTCCAAATCAGAGAGTGTCTTGCCACCCAGTCTAAGCTGTGGTTTTTTCTCACTGGGATACTAAGGCAACAATCTGCCGGCATATACTCTGATGCTATTCTTTCTTCCCCACGGTAAGTTCTCCACACAGCAGCCACCACCCTTTGAACAACACAGGTCATAGCATCTCACTCTCTGGACATAAACTTTCTGATAGCTCATCATGACACAAGGAATATAATCCAAGGACTTCACCACGGCCAAGGTGTCTTCACCATCTGGCTCTCTTGTCTCATCTACCACTTCTCCTCTTGGTGAACCTCAACACACTGTTCCTGCCTTTGAGATTCTGCCCCATTGTAGCAGTCAGCACTTCACAGGCTAGATCTGGAGGGCTGACTTTGTAGGAGCTGTCTGGAAATGCCAACAGCTCGACACCTGGAGGCCTGGGGTCCTGTGGGAGAAGCGGGTACGTCTGGTGGAGGCGTACCTCAGGGCAGCCCCGCTGAGGGGACCATCCTACCCTGAGGCCGGCTGGTTCACCAGAAGGCAGCCCACAAGGCAAGAGATTCACCCACGTTGTGGCAGGCATCACTGCTGTCTTTTATTACTGAGCAGTATTCCACAATATGGAAGGATGGTTTGCTTATCCATATTCACCCACTGAGGGATATCGGTGCTGTTGCCAGGTTTTCGTGATTATGAGCAAAGCTGTTACAAATCTTCAGGTACAGATTCTTGTGTGAGCATGAGCTTTCATTTCCCTAAGGCAAACACCTCAGAGCTGGGTTGCTGAGTGACATGGTGAATATACATTGAACTTCATGTAAAACTTCCCAACTATTTTCCAGAATAGCCATACCACCTTCCACCCTCACCAGCAGTGTACAAGGGCTCAGGTGCTCTGCATCTTTGCTGGAAGATCTGTTGACATATTCTATTATTTAGCCGTTTTATTAAATGTGTGCCGGTACCTCACTGTGGCTGCAAATTATATTTCTCTAATGATATTGAGCATCTTTTCACCTTCGTATCTTTGGTAGAGTGTTCAAATAATGCTTATGGGATGCACCTGGGTGGTTCAGTCAGTTAAGCACATGACTCTTGGTTTTGGCTCAGGTCATGATCTCATGGGTTCATGATATCAAGCCAAGTGTCAGGCTATGCACTGACAGCTTGGAGCTTGCTTGGGGGCTTCTCTCCATCTCTCTGCCCCTCTTCAACTTGTGTGCACTCTCTTTCAAAATAAATACATAAACGATTGTTTTGAAAATGCCTTTGGCTATTTTTTTGTTTGGGTTGTTTCTTATTTTTGAGATTTGAGAGTTCTTTATAAAGTTTCGATTCTTTTACCAGGTGATACATGGAAATGTTTTATATTGGGTTCCTTATAATGTTCTTCACAGAGTATAAATTTTTACATTTGATGAAGTGTCATTTATCACTTTTCCTTTTACACATCATGCTTCTCATGTTGCATCTGAGAACTCTCCACCTAAATCTGGGTCATGAAGATTTTTATCCTGATTCTAAACTATACATGTGTATATATAAATAATCAATTTGTCTCTATTTTCAAAGACTTATTCTGAGATTTTATTGGGAATGTGTTGAATCTGTAAACTGTTTTGGGGAAGAACGACATTTTAACTACACTGAGTCTTCCAATCCATGAACATAGTATGTCTCTACCTTTGTTAGTTCATAGATTGTTTTAAACCCGTGTTTTATAGTTTTCAGCATACAGACCCTGCAGATATTTTTATGTTAGATTACACTTAACTATTTCAATGTTGACCCTGTATGATTACATCTTTGTATCCTGGTAATATGTTCTAAGAGTTTTTTTGTAGATTTCTTGGGATTGTCTACATGGACAATCACGGTGTCTACAAACAGACACAGTGCCATTTCTTCCACTCTAATCTAAATGTATTTTATTTGATTTTCTTACCTGATTGCACTTGTACTTCATTCATTCACTCATGTGACCAAGTGGCCCAGTTCTGCCTGAGCACTGGAAGTTCACCAAATAACACATTCGACTTCTTGCCTTTCTAACGTGTAGTGGTTAATCCCACATATAGTAACCATATGTTAAATTTGCATCTGGCTCTGTTTCTATGCATTATTAGGGGGAGAATATTGGCAGTACATTGAGCATAAACATGGAGGCAGCTAGGGAGTTGGTCTTTACGCATGGCAACAGTAAATGCTGATTCTCATGTCTGACTTCTCTGCTCAGAGTCCCAGAAGAATAGGTCGGGTACAGAATCAGGCACAGATGTATATCCTCATAAATGATAAAGAACATTTTTTCCTCTGAGACATGAGGGAAGGAAGAGCTAACTGATAAAGATACAGAAACATTGTGAATTGACAAAAAGAAGGCAGGGTATTCATTCATGGAAGCTGGAGTTATAAATGATATTTCTTACAAATAAATGTGGATCAGTACAAACACATAATGAAGTATGGTAGTCACCAACTGTCACCAATGAAAATAGTACTTTTGTGTTGGGGGGATAGAATTTCAAACTTTTCCACTTCATGACTTTAAGCGCTAATGTCACAAATGTCTTGGACCAGAAAGCTGCAGGGTTAAGTCATGACCCCGGAAAAAGACCAGAGCCGTTCTTAAAAATCCATCTGTAGGGGCGCCTGGGTGGCGCAGTCGGTTAAGCGTCCGACTTCAGCCAGGTCACGATCTCGCGGTCCGTGAGTTCGAGCCCCGCGTCGGGCTCTGGGCTGATGGCTTGGAGCCTGGAGCCTGTTTCCGATTCTGTGTCTCCCTCTCTCTCTGCCCCTCCCCCGTTCATGCTCTGTCTCTCTCTGTCCCCAAAATAAATAAACGTTGAAAAAAAAATTAAAAAAAAAAAAAATCCATCTGTAGCTTGTTTGTGTATTATAATTCTACCAGTTTAAATTAACACAGAATTAATATAATACATTGTTAGGGGGAAGAGGAAGGAGGGTGGATATGTAGCAGATGCAATATAGTAGTAACACAAGTCACAAATGACTGTACTCTCATCAGATGTCAGTGCTTTGGAGTGACCATAGGTTGAGGACCAAAGTAAAAATAGAAACAGTAACAAACAATCTCAATTTCTATGAATAAAGAAAACAATGATTAAAAAAACAATCTACCTTTAATGCACAGAAATAAGGGCAAGTAATGTTACAGATAGATATGCGTAAGATAAAACATATCCAAATGGGATTAAATGAACATGTTTCATCCTAAGTAAATCCATCTGTAAAAACAATCACTGAATTCTTTTGGCTTTTTAAACCATCACTAACATAGGTCACATTATTTCTTGGTCAAACACAGAAGAAAGTTCATTTGACTGTGAGAACACGCATTTTGTGTTTTCATTCCAAGCCTGTTCTAATCTTATTTCTGCCAGTGGCTGAGGTCTGTATCTGGACGGCCACTCTTCTGCTCTCGGTCCACACGCCTGCTGCCGGGCAATCAGCAGTGGCTGAAGGTGGAGACCCAAAGGGAGAGGGGGTTCAAGGACACAACAGGAACACGGTGTCTACTGCTCATAGGAAAGTGTGCAAATTAGCCAAGTGCAAATCTAGTGATCTAGTGTCACCGTCTTGGGGAGATTGCGTCTATCAAAACACCTTCTGTTGTAACATATGTACGTCCAACATTTGCTCACACAAATTCTTACCCACTCATAAGAGAGAACCCAGCAGCCACGGGCAATTCCCAGCAGCACATTCAGAGTGCGCAGAGGCTTGCCGGCGAGCACATGGGTAGTAGTTTCACACACTTCCTGGGCAAGTGAAAAGCCCTTCAATGTGTTCACAACCTGGATGACGATGTTCTGTGTTCTGTTAAACAGGAGGGAAAAAAAAATCAACAAAATGACTAAGTTTCCTACATATGAACAATAAGGTGGTAAGACTGAATCGTAATTTCTAAGAACGAGAAAGCTAAAATTCTACACTGATCTCAGCCATGGAACTCCTGTGTTAATTTCTTTACGGTCAATGACTTAACATTTGGGGAAATTCAAAAACTTCAGCTCTCAACTACAACTATCTATTTGAATAGCTGAGAAAACAGCCCCAAGATAGAAGTAGCTCCCCACCCACCCCTGCGCCTGACGCCAGGGAAGCTGCCAGCATCACAAACCAGCCTCTGCTTTTCCTACCACACCACACTTCCTTTTTGGACAGATGTGAACCAATCCACGCACGGTCAGGACTGAACGTATCACCTGCTGATTTTATTTGATATTTAACATTTGTCTGAATTCACACATACAGTTTTTTTTTTTGTCTAAGTATGAGGGAGAAAAGGGCCCTTCTTATTACATTATCAGATCAAATCTTAGGGCAAATTTGGCAGAGTCTCCTTATTGTTTCAGAGCCCATCATTGTTTGTCTTCTGGTCTGTCATTCCACGAGTGCCTCAAGCACCTTTAGAAAAATACATATTCTTCCCCTCTAATTTCCTCACCAAACTGCTCACCATTCTCCCTGTCTTTCCTTTATGACCACCTTTCTAAAGCCTTTGCTTGTGACACATTGCACTCCCCTATCCCTCCCAGCAAGTTTTGGAAATCCCCAGTGAAATACAAAGGACACGAAGGGCATTCGGAGCCACACTATGACGTACACAGTGAGTTAAGAGATAAATTTCTCTCGTCTCCAAAAATTGTTATGAAGGAAAAGAGGCTGCTGTTGCACATGCTTGCACAGACCGCCTCTAACAGCACCCTGTCTACTCCAAGGTGCCTCTGAGTTTCTCTCTAGTCATCTCGAGGATGTCAATGCGCAAGACCCATTTCTTTACATGTGAAACGAAAGGGCTGAACCGTAGCACAGTTTAAATTCTCAGAGATCCCTAGGGCAAAAAACATGAATGGGTCAAGGCCCAGGCCCTATCACCACTTCAACCAGAGAATCTGTGCTTACTGGGACAAAGAAAACAAAAGCAATAAAGAAGTGAAACGGTCTAAATGATATGCTCCCCAGAACCCATCATTTCTGCATATTGATGATTTTCCTTATTCCGAGTCTGGTAGCTGCCAGCTCTTTGCTGGATGTGTTAATCAACAACAAGTGTCTCTTCGAGACATGGCTAATCAGTGTGGAATAAGAACGTCTAGGTTTTGCTCTTAGCTTCACACCGAAGTATATGTGGGGGGTGGGGGGGAATAAAAAGAGAATATGGCCTGAATGAAAACTTTCATTTTCAAAACTTTGATTGAGAAAATGATTATTTACTAGTATGTTTTATCCTGGAGCAAAACTACAGACTTTTAAAAATACTACACCTACCATTCTCAATTTTCACTCCCGTATTAGACTATGTAGAATGTTCAGTATACTTCATAAGAGATTAGCCAACATTGTTGACTGTGCTCTTTTTCCAGTAGCTAATGTACGGTGTTTGAACAATCAGTCCTTTTAATTTCACATGCCATGGGTAGGAAAAGGATCCTGCAACAGAAAGTATTGCAAGCATGCACTTTTTTGCAGGCAACTTTTCACTGAAATGTCCCAATATTTTGATGAATGTCTTCAAACCTTAAAACCTATGACTGATGGGGCGCCTGGGTGGCGCAGTCGGTTAAGCGTCCGACTTCAGCCAGGTCACGATCTCGCGGTCCGTGAGTTCGAGCCCCGCGTCAGGCTCTGGGCTGATGGCTCAGAGCCTGGAGCCTGTTTCCGATTCTGTGTCTCCCTCTCTCTCTGTCCCTCCCCCGTTCATGCTCTGTCTCTCTCTGTCCCAAAAATAAATAAACGTTGAAAAAAAAAATTTTAAAAAAAATAAAAAAAAAAAAAAAAAAAA